GAGTTCTTCCTCCACCAGTAAAGCCGCCATATTACCTTATACTCTTTTTGTGCAATGTAAAACCCAACACCCCAAAAAACTTTTTCCAGATTCAAGTGATTACAATTATGAACATCTTCAGCTTGTAATATATATTAATTTCTTATGAAATGTAAAAAAGTGTTAACCAGCTGGACTAACCATGCAGCACTATGAGGAACTCGACAGGTATCAATTACGAGGAAACACAGTAGAACTAGCATCCACTATTCCCAACAATATGTCCACCTGAGTGGTGGCATGGCTGAGTGGTTTAAACATGCCAGAATAGTTATTGCTTTATGTGTAGGTTCAAACCCCATCAGGGGCAAATCGTTGTTCCCTTGAGCACTAAGAATTAACTTTACACTTATTGCTCAGTACTGGTTTGTTCCAGAATCAGATTTAAGTGTGTGTCTATCTGCAGCTTTAAGCTGACCTACATATTGGAAATAAAAGTAAATTTTTTATAAACCAATTTGTCCATCTGAGACTAAATATATATAGTATATTTCTTGCACATGTTACGTATCTTTATGTATTGAATAGGAAAAGGAAAGAGTAGATTAATTATGTACATTTATACTCAAATATAAAACAAATTACATTCATATTCATATAATTTGTATGGCATTTGATAAATAAACCAATTACTGGTATTTTTTACTTATTATCTTACATAACTCATTCTGAAGCTGTCTAAATTGGTCCAACTCTATGATAATGGTAAAGTCAGGAGTCTTGTGGATAAAATGTCAATGCTGAGATAATCAGGTGCAATTTTCACTACTATGTGAAAATAGCTCAGCGTTGATATTTTAAACATGTCCTGATATGCTGAGATAGCATTACTGATTATAACTACTGTAAAAACTCTGAAAACCGGACCCTCTGAAGACCGGAATCCTCTAAAAACCGGACCATTTTGAAAGTCCTGTATTTTCTCCCTATATGTTCATTGAAAAAAAATCCTCTGAATACCGGAACCTCTGAATTCCGAAAACCGGACCATTTTCTATGGTTTCTAATGCTAAACATGCATAAAAATCCTCTGAAAACCGAACAACAATTTAAAGTGTCAACTTTCTGTGTTCTTTAATGTAGATCTAAACATATTCTCAACATGTGACATGTTCAATTACCAGGTAATGGTCATCTCCTTTTATCTATGCAGGTCTGAAAACACTTGTCAGTGTATGTTAATTTCTTATTGTCAATTAAATTATAGCTCTTTCATCATATTTGTGACTTTCTTCGTATAGATATGATTTTTCAAAAATGTTTTTTATGTGTTATGTGGTTTTTTTTAATATAAAATGTCTAAAAGAGTTTGGAAACTTTTTTTAAATGATTCCTGTGTTGCTTTAAATTTTTATCTTGAAGTTCTTTGTTTTGATATCAATTATATGCAAAATTAGTAATACTAAAGTCCATTAATAACATATTTCAAAGCTAATGAAAAAGATATTTTGATATAGTTCAGACAATGTGGTGTTTTAATTTCTGATTTTCTGTATTATATTCATGGATTTACATAATAAAATTACTTAAGACATATATTGCAAAAAAAAATATTAATTTGACAAAAATGGGTTGAAAAGTAAATACAAAATGATTGAACAAAGTCATTGTACAAACACATCATAATTATCAATAAATGATGTATAAAACCTCTAAAAACCGGAATCCTCTGAAAACCGGACTTTTGGTCAAGTCCGGACAGGGTCCGGTTTTCAGAGTTTTACTTTATATTATAGTTTAACTTAACAGTTTATTACTGTGAGTATCATAGCAGCACCATTATTGACATTGACCCAGTTTTGACAAAGATCTAATAGTATACTAATGTCATACCAGCCAAAGCATCTAATGATTTAGATTACCCAGTATGACATTTATAGAGAGCAAACAACAAAAACTCTTTAGTGATATGTCAAATTGTCTAGAATGCTGCTCCATGTTTAAATTCAGAATTGTGCAAGACTTGAAACTCAGGACCTCTTCTTTTCAGCCAGAGAGTTCTGACATCAGTTTCTTTTCCTATATTAATCACTCAGAATATTATTAGAAACGAAGGGCAAGAAAAGAAGGGCAAGCATTAGATGGCAGTTAATCTGCTTCAATATTGACTTTGACAATACTTCTGCCCATTTCCCATGATGCCTTCATGAAAATGTTAATAACTTCCTGTTTGACTTGACCACATTGTCTTATTTGTATTTTATGTTTTACAGCATTGAAATGACACAGCTATTGAATTTAATCCAAATGAAATGTAAATATTAATTCTTCAAACCATATTATTTTGTTTAAAAGAGTGTAGGCTTTACCAAAATAAGTGCAAAACATACAATGTATTAATCCAAAACAATCATCAATATAAAAAAAACAATCATAGCTTTAATAATGTTGAAAATATAAATAAGAAAAAAAAAACATGTATGCGTTCACGATCTTACAACTATTAAAAATTTATGTACCTTCTCCTGACATTTGAAATTATTAAACAGAAATTAACCCTACTGCACTATAAAGATCATAATAATTATTTCATATATACAAATTGAATTAAATCACATGTTCATGGAACTTACCAAAAAGCTATCGAAGGTGCATTGACCATATGTTTAATTAGTATGCAAATTGACAGGTTAATAAAATCAAACAAAAGTTAAGTAAAATGTGAATTGCAGTAATTGTGAACGTGTTTTGTTTTTTTTTCTTGTAAATTTTTGTTTGATTTACACAGAAAGTACCAGGTGTCTCTCAGTTTATAACCTATAATTAAGCGAGCTTTTACATTAATTGATCAGGTTCAGTCCATGCACTCATTTACATGATTTTATTTACAAAATTAAAAATTTTATTTGTGAGTTAATGGCACACGGAATTTGTTTAAGTAAAAGATCTTTGTATAATCAATACAATATTGTGTGATCAAAGCTTTTACAGGGCAGCTATTTTAAATTATACTTTGACTTAATACTTTAAAAGCTGTAACATTAAAGAGATTTAGTTCCTGTTGAGATAATGATGCTGATTATTAATGATGTTTTCTGAGTGAGACAAAATAGTCCCCAGACAGATATAATTATAATAATTTCTGGTGTAAATGTCGTCTGTTATGTAGCAATTATTATGACACGATAAACTTGGACATTTTCTCTATTGTCCTCTGAATAAGGAGTCATTTTTGTCTGTCAATTTAAGGAAGACGTTTTTCTTATTAATCCCTATAGAATCTGATGATCTTAACAATAATTTAATTCTGCATTATTCTTCAAAGTGTATAAATGGTCAATTTCCCTGATACAGTGATGATATTATTATCAGATGGTCTATTTCTAATAAAATTTGGGCCAGTTAAATTAAATGGATTGTAGTAAACTTGTTCTAGCTCATATAGCATTGATGGGATGGGGGGTTAGAAAGAAATAAATTATAGGACTATACATTTAAGTAGATCACGAAATTAGGGCTCACTGTATATGTAACATACATATTGTACCTACATAATGGTATAGTTATATGCACTCTGTTGACATCTATTAAAATATGATTTGGAATCCCAGTGGTAATGAGGGTTGAAAAATTGTCCAGGATCTTATCCCACTCCTATAGACTAGGTTCTCATTTATGATCCCACCAGGATCACATCATTATTCCAGTACAAACAAACTTTTACTGTTACAGCTTCACAGTTCACTATCTGTCATAATGGACCTTTCCGGTATTTCGTAGCGGAACATTTAGCCACACCTTTTCTATTCATTGCTAGGTCAACTGCTCACAAACAGTATCACAAACATAACCATGTGTTCTTTTGTGAACCAGTGACTATGTATAATCTCAGTGTAGCCATTGGATAACAATTTAGCCAATTTACATAAAACTGTAAACACTGGAAAGGTCCATAGATTAGTCAACCTGTTGTGCTTAATTTCGAAACTGTAACTGTAAATTATAAATATAGTTCGTTTGTACTCACAGATTAGCTTGGAAAAACCCAAATACTCTTAACTCCGGAGTATTTTAGTCTATTGAGCCCTAAGATATATAACAAACCCAAGATAACCAATGAAATTGTTTGTACTTTAAAAATTTATAGAACTTTTTAAAATTTAAAGAACTTTTTTTCTCTCAACAATACTCAAACTGTTTAATAAAATGAAATAGTGGTATTTTTTCCTTCCACAGTAAAATATGCATTATGAAAACATATGTTAGTTTCTTTCCCATAACTGTAATCATTGTGATTGTCTAAATACTGATAAAGTTGATTAATTTTCAATTTTAGATAATAAAATTTTAACACTTCCCTCTTGATACAATTATTAAAATAAGAAGAATTTGTTCTGTGTTTTTGTTTTATTCTTATCGTATATTTACATAAGTCGGAGGGACTGCAGAAATAAGAATGACATCAGCAAGCATCCTGTATATACTTTTATCATTTGATGATAAAGATAGAAATAGAAGAAATCATTGATCTGGTGCTATAAACAAATCATTAGCATGATTCTGGTCAATAGTTATTTGAAGTGAGCAAATAAATACACGAGAACAAACAGTCTGCGTGGCAGGGATACAGGACCACAAAATATATCAATTCCATAAATACAATAATTATTCTATCACCCTATCAACTCAACTTGTATACTGAAAGATTTCATTGATTTTATACACCCACCACCATTATATCTTATAATGTATATTAGACGTGCTATGGTAATGATGTTAAAACTCCTTTTCTGCTTAAATTCACTTAAAGATTTTCCTATTAATACTAAAGATGGTTAGTATTAAAGAGGTATCTGGAAGTTGTTCCGCCATGCTGAGGTTATATAGCCGTATTGATTTATTGACAATCAATTTCTACAATGATTTGGCTCCGTCTCGTTTGGGGACGGGAGAATCTTGCTTGGATCCTCATATTGGAATTTTTCCCATAATACAATTCCTCGATATGAAAACTCTCAAACCCACTACACAAGACTCTTATGAATGTTTGTGCCCAGGATTGAAATGGTGCTAATTCAATTGAAGTTATTTATTTATGATATTCTGTGTTAGTTTTCTTAAATTTAAATTTGTAAACTTGGGATTTTAATTGGTTTCAGATGTTAAATTACAATAGAAGGTAATGTAAATTCAGAAATTATACAAGAATTGAATACTTCTGAAGTTTTAATGCTTTGATAATGTGATAATGGCTTATATAGTCAAGGAGATTTGTTTGCTAATGTGTGAATAGTGTATTTAGTGATTTTGTTCTTTTTTGTGTCGCCTCTACGGAGTAGTGGCGACATATAGGGATCACTTCTCCGTCGTCTGTCTGTCCGTCTGTCCGAGCAGAGGAGAGCTACATTATGAGGTTTAGGTTTATGTACAGGCACTCTGTATGGGGTTCATTCCGTAGAGACATGTATTATGTGGTTAAAAATGCTCTTATGGGGTTAAAAAAATTTGCTCTTGTGGGGTTAAGAGATCAAAGGAATAACCCCACAAACACGTCTGCTAAGTACGTCCGTCTGTCTGTCTGTCGAGATCTGTCCGTGACAAAACTTGTCCGGACTACTCCTCATAAACTACTGGTGCAATTTCATCCAAACTTTACAGGAATGATCAGTACCAAGTCTAGTTGTTCATATTGTCAGCATTTTCCGGTTCAATGATTTTTGGCAGAGTTATGGCCCTTTAATAATTTTTAATTTTAAAGTTTGTCCGGACTACTTCTCTTATACCACTAAAGCAATTTCAATGAAACTTTACAGGATTGATCTGTAGCTCAAGTCCTTGCGCATATTGCACGGGTTTTTCGGTTGAATGATTTTTTGCCGAGTTTTGGCCCTTTGATAAAAAAGGTGTATTTTTCTGTATGTTGCCAGATACACAAAAGTTTGTCCGGACTATTCCTCATAAACTACTGGTGCAATTTCATCTAAACTTTACAGGAATGATCAGTACCAAGGGTCGTTATGCATATTATCAGCATTTTCCGGTTCAATGATTTTTGTCAGAGTTATGGCCCTTTAATAATTTTTATTTTTAAAGTTTGTCCGGACTTAACTTCTCTTATACCACTAAAGCAATTTCAATGAAACTTTACAGGATTGATCTGTAGCTCAAGTCCTTGCCCATATTGCACGGGTTTTCCGGTTGAATGATTTTCGGCCGAGTTATGGCCCTTTGATAAAAAGGTGTTTTTTCTGTGTGTTGCCAGATACGCAAAAGCTTGTCCGGACTACTCCTCATAAACCACTGGTGCAATTTTATCCAAACTTTACAGGAATGATCAGTACCAAGTCTAGTTGTGCACTGTCCGTCTGTCTGTCCGTCTGTCACAAACTTTGTCCCAACATGAAATTGGCCATCATGAGGCGACACATGTGATTACTGATCGCTCTTGTCTTGTAAATATATTAGACTTTACTATTATCACATTTCGATGTTATTGTAAATGATGTAAATGACTCAGAATATCAGGGCATGATGACTGGTACCTGTTAGTAATATATTATAAATATGGAGAAATATTAAATATACTATATACAGGCTTTAGTGAATTGGCTTCATAATAATTGCGACTAGTTTTAATGTGTATATCAGTAGGGAAATAATAAATGATATTTTGTGTCAATTGTGGAGTAGATAGAGGAAAATGATAATGAATCATAACCTTAAGGGATTAATATGTTTCTGAAACTGCTGTCACTGTAAGGTACAGATTTCTAGGTTGAATAATTGTATGTGTTTCATTATACTCTTTTTTTGTTTGTTTATGCAAGTAATATTGTATGTCTCTTTAAATTTTCGTTGTATGAACACAGTTAGCACTGTTAATTTAAAATATGTTGAATTATAAGTCCTGTCATTAGTGCTTTGTATTTGGAATTGTTTATTGAGACTGATGTTTAAAAGCATTGTCAGACTATCTAACCTGGCATGTGCATCTATTACTGAAGCCCCAGGTCTTTCATTTTATCACTAAATAATGAGTAGTAATTAAAGGTTAATTTTAAACATTTAAATCAAATTGTTATCATTAGATGAAATCATTTACTGCTAGATTTATTAACCCTGAAGTAAGTTTATAACAAAGTTATTTTTAGGTAATGAGTGCATTTTATAGTTGATATTTAATTCACAGAGCTTATTTAAATTCTTACACCTTAAAAGTTTTATATGCTATGAACTATTTTTGGATTACTTTAACAAGAGTGATGAGAAATTTGTTGTCTTTCAAAGTAATTTCTTTGTTTAACACTGTCCAAAAAAATGTATATGAAAATAGAATTGTTACTTTTCATATGTTTGTGTAATATTTGCAATCTCAAGAGAACATTGTATGAGCTTCAGGTAGACATTTTCTTAGCTTTAAGAAAACATTGTAAGAGCTTTAAGTAGACATTGTCTGAGCTTAAAGTAGGCATTGTCTGAGCTTAAAGTAGGCATTGTCTGAGCTTAAAGTAGGCATTGTCTGAACTTTAAGTAGGTATTGTCAGAGCTTCAAGTAGACATTGTCTGAGCTTAAAGTAGGTATTGTCAGAGCTTCAAGTAGACATTGTCTGAGCTTAAAGTAGGTATTGTCAGAGCTTCAAGTAGACATTGTCTGAGCTTAAAGTAGGTATTGTCTGAGCTATAAGTAGGCATTGTCTGAGCTTATAAAGTAGGCATTGTCTGAACTTTAAGTAGGTATTGTCAGAGCTTCAAGTAGGCATTGTCTGAGCTTAAAGTAGGCATTGTCTGAGCTTAAAGTAGGTATTGTCTGAGCTATAAGTAGGCATTGTCTGAGCTTATAAAGTAGGCATTGTCTGAACTTTAAGTAGGCATTGTCTGAGCTATAAGTAGGCATTGTCTGAGCTTATAAAGTAGGCATTGTCTGAACTTTAAGTAGGTATTGTCAGAGCTTCAAGTAGACATTGTCTGAGCTTATAAAGTAGGCATTGTCTGAACTTTAAGTAGGCATTGTCTGAGCTATAAGTAGGCATTGTCTGAGCTTATAAAGTAGGCATTGTCTGAACTTTAAGTAGGTATTGTCAGAGCTTCAAGTAGACATTGTCTGAGCTTCAAGTAGGCATTGTCTGAGCTTAAAGTAGGCATTGTCTGAGCTTATAAAGTAGGCCTTGTCTGAACTATAAGTAGGCATTGTCTGAGCTAAAAGTAGGAATTGTCTTAGCTTAAAGTAGGTATTGTCTGAGCTTAAAGTAGGCATTGTCTGAGCTTAAAGTAGGCATTGTCTGAGCTTAAAGTAGGTATTGTCTGAGCTAGAAGTAGGCATTGTCTGAGCTTATAAAGTAGGCATTGTCTGAACTTTAAGTAGGCATTGTCTGAGCTATAAGTAGGCATTGTCTGAGCTTATAAAGTAGGCATTGTCTGAACTTTAAGTAGGTATTGTCAGAGCTTCAAGTAGACATTGTCTGAGCTTCAAGTAGGCATTGTCTGAGCTTAAAGTAGGCATTGTCTGAGCTTATAAAGTAGGCCTTGTCTGAACTATAAGTAGGCATTGTCTGAGCTAAAAGTAGGAATTGTCTTAGCTTAAAGTAGGTATTGTCTGAGCTTAAAGTAGGCATTGTCTGAGCTAATAAAGTAGGCATTGTCTGAGCTATAAGTAGGCATTGTCTGAGCTATAAGTAGGCATTGTCAGAGCTTTAAGTAGGCATTGTCAGAGCTATAAGTAGGCATTGTCTGAGCTTATAAAGTAGGCATTATCTGAACTATAAGTAGGCATTGTCTGAGCTAAAAGTAGGAATTGTCTTAGCTTAAAGTAGGTATTGTCTGAGCTTAAAGTAGGCATTGTCTGAGCTAATAAAGTAGGCATTGTCTGAGCTATAAGTAGGCATTGTCTGAGCTATAAGTAGGCATTGTCAGAGCTTTAAGTAGGCATTGTCAGAGCTATAAGTAGGCATTGTCTGAGCTTATAAAGTAGGCCTTGTCTGAACTATAAGTAGGCATTGTCTGAGCTAAAAGTAGGAATTGTCTTAGCTTAAAGTAGGTATTGTCTGAGCTTAAAGTAGGCATTGTCTGAGCTTAAAGTAGGCATTGTCTGAGCTTAAAGTAGGTATTGTCTGAGCTTATAAAGTAGGCATTGTCTGAACTTTAAGTAGGCATTGTCTGAGCTATAAGTAGGCATTGTCTGAGCTTATAAAGTAGGCATTGTCTGAACTTTAAGTAGGTATTGCCAGAGCTTCAAGTAGACATTGTCTGAGCTTCAAGTAGGCATTGTCTGAGCTTAAAGTAGGCATTGTCTGAGCTTATAAAGTAGGCCTTGTCTGAACTATAAGTAGGCATTGTCTGAGCTAAAAGTAGGAATTGTCTTAGCTTAAAGTAGGTATTGTCTGAGCTTAAAGTAGGCATTGTCTGAGCTAATAAAGTAGGCATTGTCTGAGCTATAAGTAGGCATTGTCTGAGCTATAAGTAGGCATTGTCAGAGCTTTAAGTAGGCATTGTCAGAGCTATAAGTAGGCATTGTCTGAGCTTATAAAGTAGGCATTATCTGAACTATAAGTAGGCATTGTCTGAGCTAAAAGTAGGAATTGTCTTAGCTTAAAGTAGGTATTGTCTGAGCTTAAAGTAGGCATTGTCTGAGCTAATAAAGTAGGCATTGTCTGAGCTATAAGTAGGCATTGTCTGAGCTATAAGTAGGCATTGTCAGAGCTTTAAGTAGGCATTGTCAGAGCTATAAGTAGGCATTGTCTGAGCTTATAAAGTAGGCATTATCTGAACTATAAGTAGGCATTGTCTGAGCTAAAAGTAGGAATTGTCTTAGCTTAAAGTAGGCATTGTCTCAGAGCTTTAAGTAGGCATTGTCAGAGCTTTAAGTAGGTATTGTCAGAGCTTCAAGTAGACATTGTCTGAGCTTAAAGTAGGTATTGTCAAAGCTTCAAGTAGACATTGTCTGAGCTTAAAGTAGGCATTGTCTGAGCTTAAAGTAGGCATTGTCTGAACTTTAAGTAGGTATTGTCAGAGCTTCAAGTAGACATTGTCTGAGCTTAAAGTAGGTATTGTCAGAGCTTCAAGTAGACATTGTCTGAGCTTAAAGTAGGTATTGTCAGAGCTTCAAGTAGACATTGTCTGAGCTTAAAGTAGGCATTGTCTGAGCTATAAGTAGGCATTGTCTGAGCTTATAAAGTAGGCATT